GAAAGGCGTAGAAAGTTCTGATTATTACAGTGGTCACGGAGGAAAAATACTCTTTGAGTCAGTTCATGAATTACATATTTTTCGGGATTTTTTAAAGTCAAATAAAGCAAACTTTCACACTCATACTCAGAAAAAGATGCTTTAGAAAGAAATGCTATCATAGCCATTATTATCATAAAGCTGTTCACTTACATCTGCACCACCCTCGCCCCCACCCCCCGACTCCCTGGCTCTAAGCCTTGGCCATCACCATGAGCGGCTGCACTGTAAAATCATCAGCGCTCACGCACTGTCGTTTTTACGGCCTTGTCAACACACTGATGATGCTGTTCTACAATGAACTGGATTGCCATAGCAAAAAATTGAGTAGTGGTGAAGATTTTCAATTACTCCATCAAGCGAGGACTCTCTCAGTTGTGGGTACCTAACTTCGTAGTGGGACATGGTCGCAGTGGACACTGTTCCCGGTAGTCAGAGTACACTGTTTCCCATGGGCATGAGGGTACTGTAACCAGACAGAGCTTCCAAGAACACTGATGGTTTTGTTGGGTAAGAAGAGTGCACACTGAACATCAGGCTGCATTTTTTATATCTGAAAAAAACAATCAGAGTTCTTCTAAAGCTGAATATTACATCATGCCATAGTTGGTTTGACTCCAACTTAACCACACTGGGTCTGCAGGGGAAGAAAATGACCACTAGGTTCCTTTAAAAATACCACCCTAAGCAAATACTATTGTGTCTATAACTAAGCTGACCCTTATTCTGAAGCCAAGTATCCATAGGCTTGGACATACCATCAATGACATACGTGAAACGGTGGATCATGAATCAGTCATCCATTCAGCTTTTGTCCATCAGAATACAAATCATAGCACTTTTGATCACAAAGGACAATTTCACAGATATCATTTAGAAGCAGAAGATTTAATTGAGCTCTGATATCGGGTCATCGGGAAAGTCATGACGTATTTTTCTATGTTTTTAATGCAAAAATGCGTCATGACTTTCCCGACGACCCAATAGTTCCTGGATCCATGACCATGGACAAGTCACTCACTTACTCTCATTCTCAATTTCCTTACTGTAAATGTGGTGATTGCATCCTCTGTTTTTCATAGGATTGTAGCAAAGTGCAAAAAAGTATCCAATACTGGAAAATTCCCATACAAATGCAGGAGTGTGTCTTCTTGATATCGTGGGCTTGAAGACAATCAAAGCACAGAGAACCTACACATACAGACTTAGAGATACTACTGTGATCATTTCAAACGGCAAACAAAACCAGGTTTCCAAATCCATAGAACAATGGAACGTGGCATACAAACAGCTAAACAGCTCCAAGAACTGTAAATGAGCAATCCAAATAAAGGGAAAGGGGGGGGCCCAAGGGAGTTAACTCTTTGAGAACAGTTTCTTTGGAACACATAATCTGGCAAACACAGAAACAAAACAAGCCCTGCATCAAAAAATTTGTTTCCTTATCCTGAATGTTCCCAAGAAAATAATCAAACACTGTTTTGCTTCATACCAGCTCTGACGTATGATTTGTGGACCTTGCTGTGATTTTGTTCGAGTCCGTCTCATGTGTCTCCATATAATACCCATCGAACTACACCGATTGCTATGCAAATAAGCAATATCCAGCAAGAAATGGAGGTAATTTCCAGTAGTTCTGGTTTAGCAAACTGTATTGCTGATGGCTCCTGAGTTCGTTTTAGAAGCATCAAGCAGGTGAGAAGCAGATTAAAAGTTCTCTTTTCTTGCTATACATAGCTTGATCTTCAAAATGTGTCATCTTGTCATAACAGCTTTGAAACAACGTTGATAACTTTCTCAAAGACATCCATGAAAAACCTGTCTACTTACTTAATTTTCCATCTGATGAACCAAAGGCCCTTTCTGCTAGTTACGGACTACTCAGGGCTCTTTCTCATTGCCACCCTTCATTTTGACATTTAACCACGTGGAGAAATATAGAGAGCCAAGATACATTTTTTGAAGGGTTCAAGAAGCAGGTTTCTCTAAGAGCTCTGTGTCTGGCTGGTGACCCAGAAAAGCCTCAGGTTCATGGCTGGCAAGTGAAAGGGCCCGTCTTTAAATCTCTGGCAGGTAGAGAGATGAAGCCTGCAACCGGCCAAGGTGGGTGCAGGGAGCACCCAGTCGGCAGAGAAAAGGCTACCTCTCTCCCCAGCCATCCCCACTGTTCCACCCAGTCCTCTAGCCGGTGACCCTCCCTCCCAGCTCAGAAGAAGTGAGTAAACAGAGGGAAAAACTGTATAGTTTCTATTCATAAAGAACAACAACCTACATGGACAACCAACCTTCCAGGTTGAGCCACAAGGAACAGTCTGATAATAGTGTTATCACCCCTAAGCCGGCTATTTGGGGTGGGGCATGGGTGGATAGCTGTCCTCCAAAGGAAAGGAGGGATGGGAAAAACTGAGGAAAAGGCCAGAAGGGGCAGGCAGAGCAGTGTGTTCCTGGGTAATAATTAAGCTCTCAGTTGCTGTTCCTACCAATGTGAGGACCATCACTGAACTGATCTCGAAGAGAAAACATACCGCACGTCACTGATCCTATACAGCTTGGGCTTGGACTGTCACAAAGGGAAACCTCACCCTTCCTGCCACAGAGAGTGCGAAGGGGCCACAGCACACATTGCATGTCTAGTGGTATTGGGCTGAAATAGTCTCATTTGCATTTCATAAGCTTTTACATTTAACTGTGTGGGATTAGCATATGCGTTCCACTTTTATTTTTTAACATGTACAGGTTCTGGAGTCAGATCTAGGTGCCACTTCTGCCTGGGCCAAATGCAGCCAAAGAGCTTCAAAGGTCTCTGAGCTTCAGTTCCTCCAACTATAAAACTAGAATAATAATATATAGCACATAGACTTATTGTAAGAGTTATATAAAAATAAAGACACTTACTTAACATATTGTCTGGCATGGTACGTGCACAATAAATGTAAGTTAAAATTATTAGTGTCACTACTGTGATGGTAAAAGTAGCAGGAGCCTTGAGCTCTCTTTTCTGGCTCTGTCACTAAGTAGCACTGGGACCCAGATAATTTCGCTATAATTTCTTCTCCTGTAAAAGGAAGGCGTTATATTGCACATCCTATAATTCCTATCCACATCTAAACATCTTTGATTGGATGGACTATACGCATGTAAAATAATTATTTTTATTATTCTGTTATTAATATTTTGGAATTCAAGGTATCATTGGGTTTTTCAAAATAATCTACAGACTTTAAAATTCAGCATTTGAACAATTCAAAGGATACGTTGCTGTTTAGACCCCCCATTTTACTTGTGGGTGGCTCTATTATCTGGGGACACAATTTCACTGCAACATTCTTTTCCACTATCAGCCTGTGGAAAGAGCGAAACTGTACCGGAAACAAACTCCCTAAAGAACAGCCCAGCAGGCAGCCAGCGCCCTGCAGTCAGATAGGGAAGTCACTGGGCCATGTGGCCATAGGCTGACCCAGGGATCTCACACAAATGGCATAAAGAGGAATAGAGGCATTGGAAATATGTTTTTTTTTTCTCATTGAACACTCTAGGTTTTGTGAATTCTACATTTTAAGGAAATGAGGTGGTGGGATGGCAGAGCATCTGAAACTCCTTCCATCCCAGATTTTTGGCTGATGAGGGACTCAAGATCAAACTGCGGCAGAGCCAGCACACTCTGGGTCATTTTCAATCCATTTCCACATACAACAAGGGGTGGTGGTTGCCGAGGAAGAGCAGTGCTTCTTCCAGGCAGGAGGCAGGAACTGCAAGAACACTGTACAACCTGAGCATATATGACAAGCCATTATTCAGCTGGGGAAACACTTCAGGACACCCTGGGCTTGTCAAACGCCAAATAACTGTTTGCTAAGAATCCAAGTCAAAGCAAGCACTTTCTGCAACCCCCTCACCCACCCACCCCCATCCTTTGTGTCTAAGCAATCCAGAAAAAGGAACTTGTTGGGTTATCTCCCCACAGTGCTCTGATTCCAAAGCCTGAGGTTTACATCATCGAGTCAGGGTTCTCCCCTCTCCTTTTTCCCTTTCCTTTCATCTTAAACATTCTGTCTGTGACTTTCACAGAAGGACAAAAGTCCCCAAACAACAGTTCTGCCCCAGGATGGTGCCTGCTTTGCTGCTTTCCCCAAAGCAAGTTCCACTGTTCCCCGGTGGACCAGAAAAGGAACAGGTCTTCTCACTGATTTGGACACCAGACACCGCCAGCTCTGATCATCAGCTTCAGGCAACACTTTTATAACCCAGCCCATAAACAAGGTAGCAAGACTTAGAGCATCACAAAAACACGAACTTTCCCTTATCTAAAATAAGGAAGACCAGGACAACTAAAAATTTCAGCTCTCAAGTGAGGAAGGTGAATTAACCTGTTGAAAAAAAGATCTATAAAATGTATCTTCCAATGGATGAGAAAGCATGCCTAAAATCTAAATCTAAATATTATTTTGTTAGTTTTCTGTATTGCAGATTGTTATACCTCGTTAAATCAGATAGTCTTCAAAATTGACTAGCAATGGTCAAGTCAGGCATACAATAAATTCACAAGTTATTTCTCGAAACACAAATTTTTCAAGTTTTCAATGGTAAAACTGATTAAAATTAAATCTAGTCATGAACTCACTTTAATAGGTTCTCTCATCACCTGAATCTTGACTTTGAATCTAAACACCACAGATCATAAAAATCCCAAACACTGGGAAATAGACTAGCTATTTTCTAGATAGGAGTCAAGCAATAGGCCTCATTCGTCCTTAAAATTAGAAAACAACACTGCTGAGAATAACAGGTTCTAAAAAAAAAAAAATCAATAAAAGTGAAAATGGCTATTAATAACAGGTAACTCCTTTAATGCCAGAGGGAAACAAAAATCAAAATTAAAAACTGTCAGTGCCTTGCCCCCCCTTTCCACCCCTCCCCTCCCCACAACACACACGCACATACACAGCTCTCCAGTTACTTACTGAGGCAGCTCTGTCCAGTATGCCTCACACCAGCACCCTGCCTGTCCAGCTGCCAAGTGCCGGAGCTCACTGCAAGCAGCTGTTTCCTTCAAGCTGGGGCTCTGTGTCTTAACCAGTCACATGTGCCTCCTGATAAATACTGCCGCCTGCCAGGAGGTCAGAAACTGAAGATCATTATTCTCCTCATTCGCAAACCTTCTCTTAACCCCGAGCTGGCTCAGCCATTTCATTTTCATACAGAGCAGGGTATTCCACAACGTGTTTTCTTTAAGCGACCAGCTCTGAACAGCTGATAAGTCACACTGGAGGGCAGGTCACTGCAAGCGGAAAGTTGATGTGTTCGTGGGAGGGAGAGGGGGAATACGGGGTGGGGTGAGGAGCCTGGCAGTCCCGTGCTCTCTCATCTCACTCAGGTTTACACGGGGGCCCTGGGACAGCAACAAGAAGGAACCACAGACTGGCCCAGCAGGTGGAAACCGCTCTACCTTCCAGGCGCCCCTGGAAAATATCAATCTGCCGCTTCTGTCTTGGTTTCGTTTTCTCAGCATCCCTGTTTGTTGGGAGAGCCACAAGGCTGAATGGACTGTGCTGAGGAAAACAGACTAACAACCGAAGAGTGCTTTGGTTTAATTTCAACACAGCCAGGGCTGCTGTGCCAAGCGATGTGGAGGGGCAAATGTGGTGGTGGTGGCGGGGGGGTCATGAAGATCATCAAATGCAGTTTTATGGAAAGAGCTAATGGAAGTGATTTCAGGCCAAACTTCCACATAGTTTTATCTGTTGGAGGGTGCCAACATTTGGGGGCACCGCAGGGCAGTTGAGATTGCCACCTGAGGCATGAAAGGGGAAATAAAATATTATCATGAAATTTACAAAGCACTTTACAGGTGTGCTTCTGCCCCCTTTGGTGTGTTTGGAAATTGGACCACACTGCTGCTTCTTGTGTGGCTCACAAAGGTGGCAAGCCACCCTGGATGTTTTGCTGGATTCATGCTTCTCACCTAAGTATACTTCTCACCTAAGCTGATTTTCCCATCCCTTCCGTTTCATCCCTGTCTCCAAGGAAAGACCTTGAGCTACCTGACTTTGGATAGTATCTGACCTTGTGTAGTATCTGCCTTCTTGGTACAGTAAGAGGGTCACTTCTCAAGATCAGGGCCGGAGAAAGGTAGAGTGAGATATGACAGAGTCAGCTCAGCTGGCAATGTGAACATCTGAAAAGATTTAAAAAGGTTAAAATGCCCCAGGGGATTTCTGAACCATAATGAGCCTGTTAAACTGTCAACCTTGATTTTTAATAAGTGAGATCCTACTCAATAAAGGAGCCTGTGTGGGCAATGTTTCATATCTGGGTTTTGTCTCATAATTATTTGCAGTGGTAATCAAGGCAGAAGTTTTCTTCTATACAGAGGATAGAGTGTTCTTCCAAAATAACAGAAAAAGACCAAAAGACCTCAGGCTGGCGATTCGTTCAGGAGACTAATTTGTTATCAATATGTGCGAGAGCCCAGTGTGCAAATTGAAAAAAAAAATTGCAAGCTTCAAAACATATCCCTTTTTAAGAGTTCAAAATTAAAATTGGAAAAACAGATATTGAAATTCAATGTGCTAAAATTAAAATGCATGTCACCTTCATAAACATTTCTCCTTCGGTGCTGATGTGACCATAATTATTCAGAAACAGAAAAAGAGCCTACTGAAGATCTGAAATACATATGTTGATTTATTTATACTTTTTATTTATAGTCACAAACTTTTGTGACCTTACGGCATCCATCAATCACTTTATTTGCAACTGAGTGTTAATTATTTTGACAATCCATTGCATACCACACAGCCAAAGAGACACTTTTGGAAACCCTTCAATGACCCATAGAGAAAAACAGCCTCGGGAAAAGTAGGCGCAGAGATTCTTCTCTTGTTCTATTGAAAGATAGGAAGGATGGATCCCTTATCATACCGTGAGGCAAATGTCAGTGCAGACCAAGGCCCTGGACCCTCCCAGCAGGTCCCAGGAGTGTAACGGAAGGTTCCACAATGAACCTTCCAGCCTTGCAAAGAAATGTGGAGACGCCACTTCCCTGCCCATACTGCCTACAGGTTCCAGTCATTTCCTCCAACTCAAAGAGAGGTGCCCTCCCCCTTGTCAGAGGCCATCCATCCCCTGGGCTTTGTGTCTCACCTGCGGCTTCCACCTGCTCAAGCTCTTTCTCCAGCAACGCCTTCTCTCCTCCCGCTGTCTGCTCACCCTCCTTGTTATCTAAGCACGCGTACGCTGTTTTAACATTTTTTTGATCCTTTACTCCTTTAATTACTGCCCTAACCCACTCATTCTCTTCACAACTAAGTTTCAGGAGAAACACTTTTTGTCTCCATCATCTCACATCCCATTTAAGCCTCAACCTCCTTGCAGTCTGGCTGCTTCTTCCCTCTTCACTGAAAATGCTTTCCGCGAGTCACCAAAGACCAAGACTATTGGACACTGTTTTGGCTTTTCTCTTTCACGATCTCTCAGCTGCATTTGACCCAAATGACCAAGCACTCCTTAAAATATTCTCTCGTAGCTTCTTAAAATTTTACTCCTACCTGCTTCAGCCGCCTATGTGGACTTTTCTTCTTTCTGCTCCTTTCTACTCCTTATGTGTAAAAATCCCCTCTTTTTTTTTTTTTCTATTCTCTAACTTCTCTCATATGCCTTAATTTATTACCGAATGACTCTAGTGGTTTCCTAATTAGTCACCTTGCCTCCAAAAGCTTGTCTTTGCCTTTAATTAACTTATTTTATTTTTTTACACTTTTGTATTGAAAGCCTCTCAGGGGCCATGGTGGTATCTTAGGCACCTTTGTATTTCTAGAACTTATGACAGGGCTGGAATCCCTCTTTTATATATTCCACTGCTGTTTTATTTCTCACTCTATACTACAATTAGGTCTTCATGTGTCTACGTTCCATCTAAACTTTGACAGTCTTAGAGAAAGCTTATGACTTACTCATTTTATATCCTGCAGTGCCTAATACAATCCCCGACATGTAGGAAACACATAGCTGAAAAACTGCTGAATGAAGAAATGAATGACTAAAGAGCAGGATCTCCTGTCTAGCCCTTCAAGAAAAGATACAAGTTTACAAAATTTGATTTTTTTTTAGGCCACCAAAATTTTTTAACTAATCCCCCCAAAGAAATTATTTTGGCCACATTCTCTGACTGCACTGTAATAAAACTATAAAATAATCATGAAAGTGTAAGTCAAAGGAAAGCCAAGCTTTTGGAATATTTTTATAACTCTTCTTTTAAAAAACTCATTGGAGAAGAAATCAAAAAGGTAATTACAGGGCCGGCCGAGTGGCACGTTGGTTAAGAACTGGCTTGGGATGCCAGAGGGCCCCAGTTCAGATCCCACATATGAGGGCCAGTGACACTGCCCTCTACAGCTAAGATGCTGAACAACAGCTCAACCTGGAGCTGGGCTACCATGAGTCGCTGGCGACGGCGTAGGCTGCAGCCCCTGTGGCAGCGGGCTGCCATGGGCTACCATGTGTGGCCAGCAGCCAGCGTGAGCAGCCATCCAGAGGCCTGCGGCTGAAATGCCTCGCCTGGGAGGGGTGCGGTGATGGTGTCGGCTTGGGCCAGTGAAGTGGCGTCCTCCACAACTAGACTGAAGAACAAAATGACAGCAACTTGTCTGTTCCCCTTCCCCTGGTTCCCCAGCACTGTTCCCATCCCCCCAATTCCCCAATAAAAATATTAAAAAAAAAAAAAAGGTAATTACAGAATGCTGAGAAGGAGAAGAAATCAAAAAGGTAATTACAGAATACTGAGAAGTTTTCAATAATGAGAACACGACATATCAAATATTGTGGGCAGAGCCAAAAGAGTTAATAACAGGCAAACTGGCCCAAGAAGTAGTTGAAAAACAACAGATCAATAATCATGAAAAAATGTACAAGTTATTGAGAAATTGTTTCCAAGAAAAGCTTTTAGTCCAAATTACTTGCACAATCAACTTCTCTAGAAGCTTCTAGCCACAGATAATTTCCAGGCTATATAAAATGTTCAAGTGGGCCAAAGTAACAGAAAGCTAACATAATACCTCTGATTTAAAACAAATAAACTAATAAAGCATAATAAAGGAAACCACAGACTAACCTCACACCCTGGAGATCTAAAAATATATCAATATTAAAGAGTGCATTAGCATAACGACATGAATCAGTCACTTGAGAAAAGATTTTGGATTAGCACGATAGGTAATCTTGAAAAGCCTTTTGATAACATTTAATATTAATTTTTTAAATTAATAAAATGGAGTTAGGAGAATTTTTCTTAGCATGCTAAAGTTATCTGTGTAAGCCAAACACAAGCAGCATACCTAATAATGCAATATTAAAGAAGTACTAATATTAAAATAAAAAACAAGAGAGGATGCTCGTTGTCACTACCACCATTTAGCACTGTTCAGGGCATTTGAGCCATTGAAACCAGGCAAGAAAAAGAAACTAAAGAAGAATTATGAGAAAATGGGAGACAAAATTATTCAGCTTGCATGTTATAATTGTTTACTCAATAGAATCAACTTTTTTAAATGTTTCAAATAATTGCAAATGTCAGTGAGGTGAACAGTTACAAAATAAACACAAAAAATTAATAAAATTTTCCATATAACAGCCAAAAACTGTTTTAAAACATAATGAAAGAAATCTCATTCATAGTGGCAAAAACAATAATAAAATTTCTAGGAATAACTAAAAAAGTGAATAACATATTTTCAAAATATATAAAATTCTTAGAAAATATTTCAATAAATAGAGAGTTATATAATTTTCAAGGAGTGGAAGACTCAACATTGTAAAGATGTCAGTTCTTCCCTATTTAACTTATAAGTATAATTAAATTTTGGTTGAAATCCCAAAGAGATTTTTTTAAACAGGCTAAAAAATAAATCCTGAAGTGTATTTGAAAGAATAAAAAAATGAGAATGGTAAAGAAAATTTTAGAAAACAACATGGCGGGTAGTAGGTATTAAATAGACTAAAAACATCAAGAATTAAAAGTTTGATACTGGGCCAAAAGAGGCAGAACAATGGAACAGAACAGAAAGCCCATAAATATAAATACAAGTGTTATATTAAAATGTTTCTTTGTTAAATATGGTATTTAAACCCATTGGGGGGAAATGGATGATTCAATAACTGGTTGAATAGTTAATTATTATAAAAAATAAAGATGTAATTATGATCTCAGACCATACACAAAATAAATCTCGAGTGGACTAAAGAGTTAAATGTGAAAATAAAACCACAAGCCAACTTGAAGAAAATCATGTGATCGTTTTTATAATCTTAAAATTTTTAATCATGATTAAATACTTTTATCATGAAATTATTTTAATTATGATCACAA